TGAGGGTGCGTAAGGGTGCGTTAATTAATATTCATACAAATGAGGGTGCGTTAATTAATATTCATACAAAGGATTAATATTCATACAAATGAGGGTGCGTAATGACGTCACTCATTAACATACGTCATAATTATATGCAATGACGTCACGCGGGCAGGTTTAAACACGATCGGGCGAAACTTGCTGACTAGGCATTTTTTAGCGTTCTCCCCACGTGTGTGATACAATAATTAGGGCTACATACAAGAGAATATGTTGTTGTTTGGAGTTTTCATTGCACAGCTATAGCATTTTGCTGTGATTGTCAAGTGATTTCTTTAATTTAGCTCCTAGAGGAGTAAAAAATCTGATACTATATGAAATAGCATTAGTGTTATATATCTAAAACTTATATATTCGAGGTATACAGCTAAATGTTTTGTTGTTAAGTAATATATAAATATTATCAAGCGTTAGGGCTACATACAAGAGAATATGTTGTTGTTTGGAGTTTTCATTGCACAGCTATAGCATTTTGCTGTGATTGTCAAGTGATTTCTTTAATTTAGCTCCTAGAGGAGTAAAAAATCTGATACTATATGAAATAGCATTAGTGTTATATATCTAAAACTTATATATTCGAGGTATACAGCTAAATGTTTTGTTGTTAAGTAATATATAAATATTATCAAGCGTCAAAACGCTGAGAAATAGCATGCGGTAAGAGTTATGTATCTACAATTAAGCTAATATTTTTATCCCGGTCTGCCACATGAGGTCTATATACGAGAGAATATGTTGCTGTCTAGGGTTATATAAACACATGGAAATTAGAGGTTATGATATATTATTGTCAAGCGATTTCTATATTTTATTGCTAGTTTTTTTAAAGTACTAAAACTCGGATAAGATTAATAAATTTAAGCTATATTAAAGCACACCGGTTGCTATGCGTTGTTAGGGTGGTGACACTAATTAAAGGATTAACTTTTATCAGAGATTTGCATTTTCTACTGTGTGGATAAATACGGGTAGATTAGGACATTCATTGTGCGGGCGTCGCGGGTTATCCATGCGGGAAGAGAGAAAGCAATTTAGACAAGACAGGAGCGCTTTGCAGCCAAAGGTTTACACAAGAATTATAATACATTTATTTCTTCGAGACGTTTACAAAGCTAATGTGGTCTACTTCTTAGAGCATAATGTGTTTGATTTTATTTAAATTACGAACAACAATTTAAATGTTTTTTGTAATAAGAGTCGTTTGGTTTAATTCATTCGCCATGGTTTCTTTAACAAAGGTTCGGACCGTTGGTTCGTCTTCGTGCAGATTCACCCACTTCATACGACCCGATTGGTTCATTATTTTGACAGGCCAATAATTTTCTCCGCCGATGTAGACCCCCGGATGGCCAGGATTAAAAATATTGCGCGATGACTTATACATCTCTGTGATAACATATCCTTCGGGAATCTTACGGACCTCCTGTGCTTCCTTGGTGTAGTTTTGCCATTCGGAGATAGTTGCATCCGACCAGGTAATATGCATCTGATGTTTAGGTTGTTTCCTTCTAGGCTTGGTTTCGACCGGTGTGGGCTCGATACTAGTACTGTCCACTTTAGTTTGGGTGGTGAAGAGATAAACACGGCAGTCGCCAAACAGGTCCCCAAGAACTTGCTTATCTGCTGGTGTATCAGGCTTGTTATCCACCAACAAGTATCCAAACGGTTTTTGAGTCTCTCTGTAATAGGCGTTCATAAAGTGGACTCTATTTTTATCAAACATTCGTTCTCCAACAATTCCAATTTGTTTCCTATCACTAGGACTTCGGAAGAGAGCAAGATATTGGGCATTTCGGCTAATATCTGTATTGAATTTCCCCTTAGGAAACATGTTCTGAAGCAAAAGGATAACACTAGCGTTTCTATGACGTCCCTGGGTAAATAATCGAGACACCACAGGACTGTCTGTCGCTTCAGCCATCAGATCGTCCAGTATGATGATGTTGTTGTACCGCGTATGAATCTCGCTCATGTTCTCGGACAGCTCGGGCAAACCTCTTTCAAACTGGATACTTTTCCCGAGGGATTTTCTCAAACTGTCGTAACAATCTTGCCACTGGTTGTAGTACCAAAAAATACGAATACTTTTTTGCTCATCGTACATGATACGATTGTTTTCCAAAATTTGTTGAACAAAATACGTTTTTCCACTTTGACTCGGACCCACGACCAATAGCGAAAATTTATGGCGGAAGCTGAATTCTGGATAGGGTTTGGTGGTCAAAGATACTTGTGCTGTTTTTGGTTTCTTAGTTGGCAACGAGTATCCCCTTCGGCTCACACGCTTTTCTCCCGGCTTTTCAGAGTTCATGTACGGAGACTTGTCCATGTAGGCCTGCCATGATGACACCTTGGCTTGCTTAAGATAAGGTTTTCTCTCCTTGGATTCTAAGCCGTGAACTTGTAAAAGATGTGTACTGATATTCTTCAAATCGGGCCGACCGCAAAGCGGACAGGACCGGCGAAATCGTCTCTGCATGACTGCTACGGCAAATGATTCAAGTTTGCATAGAAACACGGTTCTATGTATTGTTGTTTTCAGGAAGAGCTTCTGTAAAGCTTCTGTAAAGCTTCTGTAAAGCTTCTGTAAAGCTTCTGTGAAGCTTCTGTGAAGCTTCTGTAAAGCTTCTGTGAAGCTTCTGTGAAGCTTCTGTGAAGCTTCTGTAAAGCTTCTGTGAAGCTTCTGTGAAGCTTCTGTGAAGCTTCTGTAAAGCTTCTGTAAAGCTTCTGTGAAGCTTCTGTGAAGCTTCTGTAAAGCTTCTGT